TTTGCCTTTGCCTTGTTCGCATGGTTTATGTGATCTACCGACCAACCGGCTGCACTTGGATTTGGTGTTGCCACCGACAGACCGAAATGATTAACTTCGATGTGGCCTTTGCTCCACGTGTGGCCCACCATGTAGTGGTCCCACGTGAGGGGGCATGTTGAAGTGGATCGACATTCTATTAAGAAGAAGCTTGATGCGGAAATATTAATAACGACAGTCTCTCTTTTGGCAAGTTGGTCATTGATGATATCTATGCACCAACTTGAGGGGGAGTGTTAGCAATAGTCAATTAATGAGGATTAGTTTGGCACCTACAATGGTTGGTAGCCTACAATGTTTAGTCAATTAATGTGTTAATTATGTAGTAAATTAATGTGTTAATTATGTAGTCAATTAATGTTTGGCACCTACAATATTTGGGGGGCTTGACTAGTTTGGTTGCCTAATTAGTTTGGTTGCCTAACTTGGTTGGTTGCCTAACTTGGGGTCTTGACTAATGTCTTAGGAACTTGTATATATATGTGTTGATTATAAGTAATGAAACATAAGTGAAAATCAGAAAATATTCTACAACTCTCATTCTCTCTACACTTTCCACTCTCTACTCTCAATATTCTCTATGTTTTAGCAAGTGCAGGGGCATACCACAGCGGCATGCTAAATCAAATCCAAATTAGTGTTGAAGCCGATAATTGATTGGTTTGTTCCTAACGAAAAGTGTGTCAAATTATTATCTTTTGAATGTTTGGTCATAAATGTATGAGTCCGGATTTTGATTTTCTAGTGTTGATATTGTGCAATTATGTCAAAAACCATATCTATTTAGACTTCCATGAATGTGGGCGACTAGGAAACTATTGGCAGACATCTTACGAATCCTAGGTACACAAAAGAAGACAAAGGGCAAATAAGATTGGAAACGTAATCTGCATTCATCGTCCTAGTTACATCATGTGACTAGAAATATATAATAAATTTCATGTGCAACATGCAATTGTTGATTGACTAAATAATAATAATGGAGAATAGCATCATGTATGTTGATAGTGTCCCGCATTGGAGGATGGAAGTTTTGCAATAGCGTTTAAAAGATCTTGCCAATTAGTTTTAAGTTAGACGCTCAAGTTCTAATAATGCGATCCTTATAAGTCCTTACAAGGTTTCTTAGAGTATTTATACACTTGTTCTTAAGCTCTTAACGAACTTCTCAAACTGTTGCTTAACAGCCTAACCATCTAACAATATTAGAAACTAACTAACTAACTATACACGTTGGTCAGCAACTGAACTAACCACTGCCAGCTCAACAATTCCAGTTGGCTTCAGCTATCATATACAGCCAACAAATATTGTAGTGACTTTAACGTTCTTCAGCGGAGTCAAAAACCTAGGGAGACAAGGCTACTTTAGAATTTCTGCAAATAATGTTGCTTTTGTCCATCGTCTGCTTGTTATACGGTAGAATTTTTGGTGCATTATTAATGCAACAGAAAAAACAGGAAAAGGATTTATTTACATGAGCTGGTTCAATATGTGATTAGTGCAGAGTAGGGCGCAGATTTACCAACGTCTATAGGCAGCTAAACCTGACACTGTCCGGTGAGGTGGGGGAGGTGCCGGTGTGCAGTTAAACCCAACGAGGTCGGGTGGGGGGCGCTTCCTCTTACGGAAATGGTCCCGGAAAAGACTGACTACATCACACAAGTCGCTGGCCAGGAGAACACGGGCTTTGACATCTTTGGTGGCCTTGGCGCTACTGGTCGACAAGGGTAATAAGTTAGGAAATACAGCAATTGTTGCCCAATCTACAAGTTCTTCTCCAAAGAAACCTCCTGCTTCAAGCTGCGCAGAAGAAAGATCCTTGCTACTTTCAATCTTTACAATTCCTTCTATGATGAAGAACATCTTATCAATCGGTTCATTCGCTTTAATAATATCGGTCTTTGCAGCATATTTCACAGTCTTAGAATGCTTCCAGATCGCTTTCAATACTTGTTCATCCAGTGAGTCAAGCTTTGGAACCTGCGTAAATTAATTCAATAGATATATACATATATGCATGTAAGAAAAGATAATGCGAGGAAAATTAAATTAATTTAGCAAGATAGCATGCATCACATAGGAACTTACTCTCTGTAACTTTTTCCACATCATATGGGAATTGAGATAGCTTTGAAGTTCAGAGGGAAGAATAGAGAGGATCTCCTCCACGTCACCACCCCTGAGTTCCTCAAGTTCGTGTTTCACCGTTCTCATGATCTGTGACTTTACCTTTTCCTTCTCATTTTGAGGGATGTTGACATTCTCAGATAACCAGAATGCTATCTCTCTATCTTTCTCTTTCAACCTCCGTTCTGTTTTCATCTCTTGATTAACACGTTCTTTACTTGCCTCTTCTCTTGCAGCGTCGAACTGCATGTACATCTATTAATCCAAGACAACATAGCTACGTTCAGTTCGTGAGTATTTATTCTAATATTTATAAGTAACGTTACTACGAGCTAATAATGCATAATGTACATATAATGTTGTTATATGAGGGTAATGAACTGAACCTAGAAGTTAGAGTTTCAGGCTTGTTCAGCTAGGAAAGAAAACATATTAAAGTGGACCTTAGTCTATGATGAACAATAGGAGATGAAATTTTTCGGAAAAAGGGACCTTCACAGCTTGCCTTCGGCACCGCCACGTAATCTTACTAATTCATTCATATTGTAACATGTGGATTAGTATTACCACATAACAGTGACCATATGTCTATAACGCTAAAACATTTCTCCTCCTTTTGACAAAGTAACTAGCAATAAATTATATTCAGACCAAAGTGAAAAATGGCAATGAGTGATTTGTCCCTCCAACACTAGCATGGATGCTCAAATGAGAACAAAGATGAGGAGCTTTGTTAGATTAATTAAAGAAAAATTAAGATATAAATACTTGACACCAACCTGCAAATTTCCAATGAGATATATAAATAGTAGCAGGCCAATAATAGAAACAAAAGCCGCAAAGAGGTTCTCCCATGTAGTGATACTGGGCTGGAGGTTCGAACCAAGAGAGCTGAAAATATGAATATGGATCGCAAATATAAGATACAAATCTCTGCTTTTAAATTCAATGTGTTCATGATTAAGAACTCAGACCAGATGCTATGTATACACTGGGCACAAGCAAGACAGAGAATTAGAATCTGGGGAAAAACAGAGTTTTGAAATGACAGTTGAAATTTTTAACAGAAAAGTTTAGTGTATTTTATTTGTGAGTATAAGCTATGGCAAGATATATGCAAGACCAATGAGCTTCAAATGTACAAACCTCAAATTTCGCAAGCCCCACCAGAAACAATTGGAGAATTTTTGTGGATGATTTGTTGACTTGGATATACCAGATTTAAGGACGTCAACAAATATACCAAAATCAAAGAGCGTTTCATTTTGTGGGTTTATTGGACATAAGTCATTTAGAAATGTGGTATTTCTGAACAGGTCATCACAAATAAAACTATGAGGTTCACATCCAATTTCAGTTCGACATGCAAGTTGCCAGCAAGTCTTCATTCTTTGAATAGCAAAAAAGTACCAAAAAGCTCCGAGTACCTAAAGAATTGACAAATTATAGTTCATTAGAATGAATTGTCAAATATATATACTTCGGTATCTGGACCTGTAAGGTTGATTCATTTAAGAACCTAAGCTTTTGATCAAGAAATAAAAAAGAAAAATGATGCATCAACCTTTACATAAATTACGATGAAGAGACTGAAACTTACATGACTAGCAAGGATGTACATAAGGAAATTGAGTACACTTTTAATCCATAGTCCAATATGTTCATTGAAACTCTCTTTAAGTTCCTTACATGAGAAGTAAATTCGAAGAATCCGTGGCACATATTGCACCATAGCAAGAGAATTCATAAGCATCGGTATGTTCAAAGATCTCCAGCCCTTCGCTTTAGAAAAGAAAAGGATAATTACCACCTGTGAGTGACAAAATACAATGTTTAAGTTATACCAGCAGTCAAATCAAATTAATTAGTTAGTGTGAGTGAGAAGGATATGAAAAGGATTCTCTTAATTACCTGTGGAAGTGGAAGAAGAGCTAAAATGTCAATTAGGATGCATGACTGCCAAATGGTCTTTGCTATTGTTGAGAAAAAAGAAGTTTCATGCATCAATAAAAATTAAAGTTTCTGAAATGGAATTAATAAATTTGAGGCGAAAAGTTTCTCACATATTTTAAGTCGAACAAGTAAGTTGACAAAGTAAGAGAAATCTGCGACTGCTCTCAAAGCAAAAGCTGTCTTATTCAATGCTTTGTCCATGTCGATGCACTTGAGATCCTGGTTGATGATAGGAATGTAGAGGAACAATGGGTCGACAATAACAGAAATCACACATGATATTACAAATATCTTTCTCCAGTTCATCCGTTGGAACAGAAAATATATGCCTCCAGGAATTTCCATTATAAGGTAATAAATAAGTTTAACAGTTATCTCTATTAGTAACCCTGTAATATTAATAAAAACTGCAGGAATTATTGCCACTGCCGAAAAGCATCCCAAACAAAGGATTGTCAACATTGATGACCATGTAAGAGTACACCTATCAAATGGAAGAAATTAGAAACAAACAGTTAATTAAGGAGCCAGCCATTCGTGGAAGCTATAGCATGACTAATCTTGGAAACTCTGTTCATGCTGTGAACAGAGAAAACAAAAGAAAATGTCGTTGGAAATTAAAGAAGAAACCTGTCAGTAACTTGCTCTTCTTCATCCGAGTCCTGCACAAGTGAAGTTTCTTCATCTTCTTCTTCTTCCTCTACAGCTAAAGTTAGTTCGAGGTTAGCCATAACTCAAACTTATTTAGATATAATATTGTATCCCCTCGACTATTTCCTTCCTAAATAATAGACCTGAAGTCCTGTTTTCGGCATATGCCTTACAACGGATAATTGTTCAAGAAAATACTCGTCATGATTCGGAGGTTTTCTACTCTACAATGTGGAGCAAGAGAGGTGGGGGATTGGCTTAGGCTAGGGTTGGCTGAAACTGAGCCTGGCTAGCATTCTGGATATTTGCATTGCAGATGAAGATCCAGCAGAGTAATTACCCTTTGAATTAACTGAAACCAAATCTAGAACTCAACTCAACTCACTCACTCTCTCTCTCTCTCTCTCTCTCTCTCTCTCAATAAATCTTTATTGATTTAAGGAATGGAGTGATCAATCAAGCAGCTAAGAGTATCTCCAATCGATGTGTCAAAAGTGTCACATAAACATTTAACAGCTAGAAATAACATCTCACATCACTCCAACCGATGTGTTAAAGTTGATGTGGAATGAAGGATGGAGGTCAAGATGTTATTTTTGACATCCCAAAACCAAGATGTCAAATGAATATTTTATTATTATTATTTTTTTCTTTTCTTTTTAATTAAAAATAAATCAACACTAAAATGTAATAAAATAATAATTTAATTTGACATATTGGGTGGAGTGTAAAGCTGTGTAAGAGCATCTCCAAGGGAGATGTCAAATACCAAACATCAAATTTAAATTTGATGGATATATATATATATATATATATATATATATATATATATATATATATATATATATATATATATATATATATATATATATATATATATATATATATATATATATATATATATATATATATATATATATATATATATATATATATATATATATATATATATATATATATATATATATATATATATATATATATATATATATATATATATATATATATATATATATATATATATATATATATATATATATATATATATATATATATATATATATATATATATATATATATATATATATATATATATATATATATATATATATATATATATATATATATATATATATATATATATATATATATATATATATATATATATATATATATATATATATATATAGCTTTTGACGAAAATGAAATGAAAGAGGTGATAAACAAAAAATATATGTACGATAGGAGGAAATGGTTGTGCGTTTAAAAATAATTGTTCAACGGTAGGAATAAACTGGAAAGAGGAAAAAGGAAAAAAAATAAAAAAGGAAAATAATAAATGAAAGTTACAGCCAGTTGTCTTTAAACAATAATAAAATATTCATTTGACATCTTGCTCCTTCATTCCACATCAGCTTTGACAATTCAGTTGGAGTAATGTGAGATGTTATTTCTAGCCGTTAAATATCTATGTGGCACTTTTGACATATCGGTTGGAGATGCTCTAAGATATCAAATTGCCACATTAGCCATCAAATTAAAATGTGATGTTTGGTATTTGACATCTCCTACTAAGAGAAATTAAGGTCAGTAAATTTTATGAAAAAAACCAAGGGTCAACTATAGAAAAAACCCCAAACTATGAGGTCACTTCCAAGATGATCATACCCATCTTATAAGACATTTTTGGTCCGCGTGAAAGTCCATATCATTAAAAAATAGGTCCCACTTTTGACACGCTATGGCCCCAGAATTTCCAATAGACAACGATATGCCCCCAGAATTTCCAGCCAAGACGATGCGGCTCCTCATGTTCCCTATATCCATGGGTGCGCTGCAGTGGGAGCAGAGTTTAGTGGTGGTTTGGTTGGTTGTTTTGTGCAGCCAGGGTAGTTGTGTGGGTCAGCTGGTATTGGCTGGGTAAGTCGGGGTTGGAGTTTTTGGAAGTTTGAGTATGAAGTTGAAATGTCTTACAAAATGGGTATGTATTTAAAAATAACCCCACAATTTGGGGGGTTTTTGGTAGTTAACCCAAAAAACAAAACCAATACTTAAGTTTTGTCTTGATGTTATGATCAAATATTGGGATGCTCCTTGAAGCCCTAGCTACCAGTCATAGAGTCATCCAAAGTTTGAGGTTTTGCGTGTTGGCATAGGATGATGGAGTCACATGCAGTTATTAAAGATATTGGAGCCCTGCCCAAGAGACATGATATTACTGTTAACAAAAGTATATGGAAAAATAAAAAAATAAAAAATCGATTACCTTGCCCAAGAGGCTAGTAATTAATAATAATTATCGCATAAAAAGTCACTAATCTTTTGTGCTTGTCTTCGCTCCTATTATTAACCAAAAGATAAACTTTGATCTTCGCTTCAAGGCCCTACAACAATGGAAGGTGGGTTAATTTACTCTGGATCTGGAAAAGGGTACAGAAACAAAATGCCGGCCGGCTTGACGGGTTTCGTCAAAAGCATGAACACTTCCATGAAAATTTCATTGGGTATGTACCACTTACAAGTTAGCTACTTAATTGCATATGATTAGCAGGTATCTGTGTGTGAGTGTGAGTTTGTGTGTATTCCCCTTTTGCAGGTATCTGTATAAGCTTCTTTATTATACTGGTTGGAATTCTTTTGATACTTAGTATGTGCAAGATAATTGAGTTGCTAAAACGCATTGCAACATCACAACACATATTGGCTATACATAATAATAATGCACCTTCCAAGTTAGCACCCAGAAAGTTTTCTGCACGAGAAATTTCTAGGGCGACAGATTATTTCTATGACGGTAGAATCATTGGTAGAGGAGGCAAAGGAATAGTTTACAGAGGAGTTCTACAAGATAAAAGCGTGGTGTCCATAAAGAAGTTCAAGTTAGACGTACCTAGTAGAATTGTCTCTGAAATCTTTGTTAAAGAGGTGACTATTCTTTCTCAGATTAAACACAGACATATTGTGAGGCTCTTAGGTTATTGTGCAGATCTGGGAGGAGAAATCCTAGTTTGCGAGTTCATCAACAATGGCACTCTTTACGAGCATATTCATGGAAAAAGCGAAGGGTCATCAACACTCTCATTCCAAATGCGAATGAAGATAGCAGTAGAAATCTCAGCAGCACTAGAATACTTGCACTCCTCCTCCTCTACTTCCAAGAATAAATCAATCGTACATCTAAATGTGAATTCGAAAAGAATACTATTAGATAAGAATTACAGGGCAAGATTGGCCAACTTTAGAGAGGCAAAAGTGATTCCTCAAGTAATAAATCACGTGTAAACACCCAAATTATATCAATCTTCATGTTGCCGTTTGTACATTGTAACGTGTGGGTCGTCACGTGAAGATTGATTCAAGAGAGCCTTCTGAATCAAATCGATTCAGGAGAACCTTAAAGTACACAACACATCGTTCGTACACAGATATATATGCAGTCCACATTTTATGTATATAGTTTATATTTATATTGATTAAAATTTCATTAGACAAGTGTCTTTTTTCTTAATTATCAACATCTTGGCAAGTTGTTGGAATGCAGTACTAATAAATCGCTAGTTGTCGTAAACAAACATTCTTAACTCTTGTCATGGAAACATTCTTAACTTCTAGTCTGGTCACCAAGTATCTTTTTGTAATAAATTCCTTCGTCTTTCCAACCTAAGCAAATAGTTTATTACCATTAGTTAATTTTGCAGAGTTTTTTTACACCAACACCTAGTGCCATTTTCGGTGCGCTAAATGCACTAATCTCTGTCACAAAATTCTATGAGGTTTTAAATTTTTCACAAAACCTCTTTCCATTGATTAACAAATATTAGCTTGTTTGTTTCAATTTGAGTCAACTTAGTTAACGTGGGTCGTAATGTGAGGAGGACGTGTATCTAATTCTAGTTTGCAAACGTACCGAATCTAAGAACTGATCCAATTCAAGTTTACATACGGTACAACACATTCATATATATGTATTAGAGAGCATCTCCAAAGAGCTCCTTAAACGAGCTTCTTAACTAAAATTTAGAGAAGTTAAAAACTTCAACTTCAACCATAATCTCCCTATCCAACTCTTAATAAAATATAGAGATGTCTAGCAATATGAAAAGAGAAAAGAACTTCTAGCAAGCACGTCTGATTGGAGATACAATTATCTTGCCAAACTTATAGTTTTAAACAAAGACTATGGGCTCGTTTGGGACTGCTTCTTTAGGAAGCACTTCTGCTCATAAGCGTTTTTATTATAAAAATATTTAAATTTTCCTAAGGAATCGAAGTGCTTTCTGAAAAGTACTTGGAAGTGCTTCCTATATAAAGAAGTACATGGCATGTGCATCTCTAGAACACCCAAATTGCTATTTGATTAAATCTTCATAGTGCTAATTGGATTTCAATCAAATTGCTATTTGATTAAATCTTCATAGTGCTAATTGGATTTCAATCAAATTGCTATTTGATTATTATACCTTTAAAAATAATAAACCAGAAAATCTATCTACCTCGTTTTATCAAATAAATCTACCTACCTTAAAAATAATAAATAAAATAAAATAAAGTAGCTTATCTAATCGAAGTAGTACCATAAAAATAATAAAGGGCTTGTCCAATATAGATCCCTACATTTTCTATTTCCTAGACATATACCAATCATTCTATAAATCTATGTGTAAAACCCAATTTCAAATTTAAATGACTAGTAGGATATAAGAGGTCGTAGTATTCATGTATTTTTACATCGTTGCCACCAAACTTCATATTTTATTTATAATTTATTTCAAGCATTTCATTAAATACTGAGGGAGGGTGATTAGAAAAAACATTTTAATTCTAGACTGGATAAAAAAAAATTTTAAAAAATAAAGTTATGTTAACATTGAGAACAGAATCTGGTCATGTCCCCAAGTCTTGTTGACGAGATTCGTTCGTCTCCCAACACAAAACAAATTTAGTTTTGGCAAATTGCAGTGCTTTCTAGTTCTCATGAAAAACATTTTTAATTCCAGGCTTTAATAAAATATGTTAAACCTAGCATCGAGACTAGATCTAGGCTCTGGAACTCTACACGCTTGATGGTAAAATAATCAAGGAGGAAAAATTGGAGACAGCCAAGAAAGTGGTTGATCTCGCAAAAAGCTGTTTAGGGTTGCAAGATGAAAGGCCCTCCATGAGAGAAGCTCGAGGTTATGGCATGGGATTATTCAGCTGCTAAGGGACTGGCTAAGTTGAATTTCTCTCCATCTCCCAAAGAGACCGATGAGTTGCTTGGGTCACCTTCAAACGCTCAACTTCTTCATATCAGACGTTAACATGATGAATTGTTTAATTCTACTAGTTCTAGTGGGATGCAAAATCAAATCGAAATTAATGTCGAATTCGTACGATGATGGCCGATGTAATTGATTGTCTTGTTGCTAGCTAGCAAGCTAGTGATGTAATGAGAATTTCGATTTTGGCAAGGTTCATGAAAAACATATGGAATTCAAGCCTAAGTCTTGGATAAATAAATAATAAAAAATGTTAAAGTTGGCTTCTAGAGTTCTGGTCTTCTTCCCTAATTAGTAATTTGATACCCCTCTTAAAAAAAATATATATTTAGTAATTTTATACCAGCTTTTGTTCCTTGTTTAGCCTTTTTCCTGGGCTTCTTTTTAATGATATGATTTTCGACCAAAAATTTAAAATAATAATTCTTTTTTAATAAACAATCCCCAGAGGAAAATTCAGTCAAAAAAAGAAAGTACGTACACAACATCTCCACACAATAATGTACAACCAATTACCCCACCGTCCTATCTTTTCCAACAAAGGTCACAACTAAGGCGGGGCTGCATACAAAAATACACACACACATGCCTTCACCAGATTTGTTTAATTGCAAACCAAACCTGTCCTTGGTATATATTTAGTAATTTTATAGCAGCTTTTGTTCCTTGTTTAGCCTTTTTCCTGGGCTTCTTTTTAATGATATGATTTTCGACCAAAAATTTAAAATAATAATTCTTTTTTAATAAACAATCCCCAGAGGAAAATTCAGTCAAAAAAAGAAAGTACGTACACAACATCTCCACACAATAATGTACAACCAATTACCCCACCGTCCTATCTTTTCCAACAAAGGTCACAACTAAGGCGGGGCTGCATACAAAAATACACACACACATGCCTTCACCAGATTTGTTTAATTGCAAACCAAACCTGTCCTTGGAAAAGTAATCGTGCCATCACTCTTTCCTTGCCATTTCTTCAAGAACCTGGCACCAAGATCATCAAATACTAGCAATCAGACAACGAAAGTACGTATGTACATAAGCATGCGTGTAGCCGCGGGTGGGAAAATAACATCTTATTACTACACACATGCCTTTATTATATGCACACCTCACCAAAAAAAATATTAAAAATAATAATTAGTTGCACATACATAATAATACTAACCAATTCGATCACCAGGCTGAACCCTTGCCAAGTCTTCGGCCTTAAGAACCAGAACTTCAACTTCACCGATGGCCCAAAAACTAAAAGGAGAGGGGGGCAATTCGGCAGGAACGTTAGCTTCCGTACATTTAGATCGCATCCAATGTTGTATAAGTTCATCTCCACTGTGATTTGGACGTTCTCCTTCTCTGATGTAATGTTTCGAGCTCTCGTTTGTCACTGACACAACTCCACCGACGATGAAGAACATCATTTCCATTTGTTTGTCCTTCAGAATAATGTACTCATCTTTATACGTTTTTTTGGTAAGATGGTCGCATATTTCTTTCAACACTTCCTCATCCATAGCCTCAAGGCTTTCCACCTATGATATTATTGGAGACCATATTTATTTAAGGCAAAGGAGAAATTAGAATTATGATTAAAATATATAGGATATATTATAGGTCTAGTTCTCTTCATCCAGAGGAACTTACATTCTTTAGGATGGTCAATGGTTCTCGAGGCTGATCAGAATCTGTAGCGAGGGCGGTTTCCATGCTGAATTTCGACCTGAATTGATCAGAGACTACACTCTTCAAGTCGTCGGCTTTGAGAGCAAGGATTTCGACAGAACCACCAAGCACGCCGCATAGCGCAGAACCAGGTGATAGAGGTAGTTTGGCAGGAAAGGGCTTGTGTGATACCCAAGTTGTAACCCAATGTACAAGTTCTTCACCGTAGAAACTTCCTATTTCACAGGTTTTTTTAACGTTCACGTCCATAGCACTATCGCTTTCAATTGATACAACTCCTCGCATGACGAAGCACATCATTTTAAGTGGTTTTTTCTCTTGAAGAATATGGCGCTTGGCAACATTGAAGTTCATGGGCTTAAGGCACTTGGATATTGCTTCCAACACTTGTTCCTCCATTTGTTGAAAGATTTCCACCTAAAATTATATAGATGTGACATTGTCAGTTAAGAAAAATATAAAGCATCTTCTAAAAGTTAGTACTGGCTAGCTAGGATGATATATAATGGTTTTAATTGGATGTGTCTTCTTCATTAAGTTCTAATTACTTTGCTTGATATATATATAGATAGAGCAACTTACTTTCTTTAGCCAAGTCAACCGGACATCTGAGGGAGAGGCAAAATTGCTGAAATGCGACATGAACCTAGAGACTATTGGTTGGTTCTCTCGAACAATATAGTCGTCGCGTTTATAGCTAACCGAAGAAAGATGATGAGACATTGCTTTCAATACTTGTTTATCCATAGTTTCAAGTTTTGGCACCTAGGATTTGACACATTATTAATTTCTCAAACATAAAGAGAACATTATATAAATCAAATAAGTAACGTCATTGTATATACGTCTTCTAAATAGAGAGGAGCTTACTTTCTGAAGAATAGTTACCACCATGCGCAAATCGTTGATAGACCGCCTGGAACTAAAGCCCAAGGTCGCCATGTCTGTGGCAGAGAGAACAAGGGCTTGAACATCATCAATGGCCCGAACAGACTCGTTTATGGGTTTTGCATCACCAGAGGAAGTCCACAACGGCGAAACTAGAAGTTCCTCTCCATAAAGATATCCTGCGCCTAATTGCAACTGAGAATTTTCCTTTTCAATAGTTACACGTCCGTCCACGATGAAAAACATCATTTCAAGTGTTTGATCCTTCTTAATAATGATTTGTTCAGGAGTGTACTTCTTGGGCTTAAGCTTCTCAGAGATTTCTCTCAAAACTCCTTCGTCCATGTCTTTAAGTAGTGGCACCTAGAAACAGATACAATATTTTAGAAAAATAATCAGCAATTAAAAATCTAATATATATATATACACACATTTTTAACATTAGTACATATTGGAAATAACAAAAATATATTATATAAAAAAAAACCATTAATACGTATTGGAAATACAATGATGATCCATGAATGTAGGCTTAGAATATAGATGGTTCGGATCTTTGAAAACAGATATGTAGGCATATATATATATATATATTGTATAAACTAGCTTCTGAACCTACCTTCTGCAGCCTTCTGAACGGGGTGCAACTTTTGATATATTTGGGGGTAAGAACAGAGAGGATTTCCTGAACCACATCAATATCCCAGTTTTCTTCAAGTTCTTGTCGTACCTTGTCCATGATCTCCGGCATATTATGCAGGGGGATGCCATTTTTAGATAACCATGATTCTACTTCTTGGCCCTTTACTTTCATCTTCGTTTCAATTTTCATCTTGCGTCTGTGCGACTCTAACCTTTCAGTATCTAACTGCACATAGGTCTATTTCACAACAAGAGGTTCAGTTCATTGATTCTAATTTATATATACACATATTGACCCAAAAAAAAAGACACATATAAATATATATAGATGGGTACTCAAATGAGAAAAATAAATAAACATATATCAGGATCGCTGTAAGCTTAAGGATAACTTTTTATATACAGATATTCAGCGCACCAACCTGCAAATTTCCAATGAGATATACAAATAGTAGCAAGCCGATTATAGATATAAAGGCCACAAAGAGGATTTCCCATGTATTGAAACTCGGCTGGAGATTTGAAGCAAGAGAACTGCAAAAATGAAATGGATCACAATACATGAGATATACAAATCAAAAGTTATAAAGATACAAGAATTCTATAGTGAACTTGTCTAAGGTTTTTAATTAATGAGGTCCTATCTTACTGTTGAATCAAACTAACCAATTTAATCTAACGGCTAATCAATTTACCCTCATTATAGAATGACTATAATGTGTTCAATGTACGGAAATCTATATAAAGATACAAGAATTCTATAGTGAACTTGTCTAAGGTTTTTAATTAATGAGGTCCTATCTTACTGTTGAATCAAACTAACCAATTTAATCTAACGGCTAATCAATTTACCCTCATTATAGAATGACTATAATGTGTTCAATGTACGGAAATCTAAGATCATTTCTCTAGTTTCGGACCCAGCATTTTGTCCATGTAGGGCATATAAATTACAACCATCCTAGAAGGAAAGAAAAAAGTTAATTGTATTCATCTTTACATGGAACACATTATGATTATGTACTTATTAATAACTTTCTTTGGGTAATTAAACAAAATACTATGCAAAGAGTACTTTTTTCGACAAAGATACTTTATTACAATCAAGTAGAGAGAACCACTAGCACTTCAAAGGCTAGTTGATTACTATTTGCTTTTTTATTTATTTTTAAATAACAAAATTCTCTAGATTGCAAATTTAGATTTTTATTTATTTGTAATTATAACTCAATCTTTAATATCAAAGGGTCTCACATTTACAAACCTCAAATTTCGCAGGCCCCAACAAAAACTGTTCAAATACTTCAGGGGATAGTTTGTTGACCACAAAACACCTGA